CATGCAGAAGAATGAATTTAGATTCTTACCTAACATCATATACAAAAAAATAACTCAAAGTAGAACAAATACCTAAACAGCCAAGACCAGTCACAATTGGCATAAAATCTTTCTGGCTTATAAAAACTAGTCAAAACCAGTGTTCAAAATTGTGCAATTGTTACCAAACACCAGGGGTTATGTTTGGGTCCCATTGGTCAATGGGATGAGTACTGCCAGTCACTGAGATGAGTACTGCCAGGGAAGCAGGCTTATTATTTCACAGGTGACATCAACCAGTGAGATGGGAACCAAACCTCAAATTCATCCCTCCTCCTTGATTAAAGTATAGCGTTTATTGTAGTCTAGAATAAAAACAAGAGAGGGAAACAAGAGGAGTTGTTCAACAAGGAGCATGTGTATTTCATTGCACAAATGTAACTTTCTCAAGCTTTAGTTTTATGGGCATTCGGCTTGTTGGAAAATTGGGCTGGTTTCAGAATGAAAGAGTGAAAAATATTCTAAAGTCTAAGGGAATGTAGAAGGTCTCCTTTAATCTACAATAGTGAAAATCTCTCCAAAGGTTTGTGAGTGTTTCTTGCTTGTGTGTCTAGATGTCTCTGATATTGTAAGAAATATGTCAAAAAGAAACTGACAAGGCCTACATGATGCCATAGATTCTATAGTGAAGGTTTTCAAAACCTGTTGAGGCTTGTTATACTCCATCTCTACTGAGTGTGGCCAGTTGAAATCAGTGTAAACCTTTCAGAACTGGCTGAGTAGTCAGAACTTGCAGATTTTGGCTGGTCAAGGCTAATTACAGCCACTCTAAAGTGGTTATAGCCAGTTGAAATCATTCTAAGTTGGGTGGAACCAGCTATGACAAATTAGAAGTGACATAAACTGGTGCTTATTTGTTCAAGCCAGTTGTAGCCAGTCAGTGCCAGCATCAATCATTTTGGGCCAGAAGAACAGATCTAAACTGGTCAGAACCGGCAAGACCATTCAGAATAGTCATGAACTGATTTTGCCCAATCAAAACTGGTTTAGGCTGGTCAAAGCCAGTGATACCCAGTACAAACCAGTTTTGACCAGTTAGAGCTGGTCTAAACTGGTCAGAACCAGCTTAGACTGATTACAGTTGGCATAAAATAAATCCAGCTTGTGAAAACCAGTAAAAACAGGTGCTCAAAATTGTACAATGAAAATGTAAAAAAGATTCTAAAGTCTAAGGGAAAATGTGGAAGGTCCTCTTTCATCTACAATAATGATCATTCCCCTGTAGGTTGTGAGTGGTTTTTGTTTGTGTGCTCAAGTTCTAATATTTATCATGTCCCTCATTTGGTAAGAAGTCTCATAAAAAATAACAAGGCTTACCTGAGAATATAGATGATATAAATATTTTTCACTGTTACCTTCCCTGGGGAACTCAGGTGTCTATGTGCCCTAGCAGTCCTCTCTACACCTCACCAGATTTTATTCTTACCCCCATCTGATCTGATTTCTGCCCACACCATCCAATCCAGAATCAGATTCAAAGAGGAATAAGGAGTGCCTGCCTTCTGCCCTGAAGCTCCGCCTCCACCAGGAACCCAGGAAGAAGTCCACTGAAGGGGGGTTGAGGACAGGACAGCTAGGGTTTGCCCTTCAGCCCTGCACAATCTCCTTTCCTCCACCACCGGAGCAGGAGCCCTCTGTGGCAGTTCATTGGCACTGGGTTCCGGCTTGTCTTTTCCAGGAGTTCAGCAGGATGGTCTTGGGATTATAGGCGTCATGGAGGGCTGAAGAAACATTGATGGGAGTTCTGGAAATGCACCATGGGATCCCAGCCTCAGGCTCACCTAAACGGAGTGCGAGTGAGTCTCCCCAAAAGTTGTCCCTCCTGTCACCTTGAGGACTGGCCTGCCTCTGCCCCAAGGTGCTCTCTTCCTGGAGGGGCTTCCTCACAGAGAGAAGAACCCTGCAGCCTCAGGAGCTGCCTGAGTGCGTGTGTTTCTGTGTCACTATTTTATGTCCGTGTGTGTGTGTGTGAATGTAATTTTGTGGTTTTTTGGGTGTCTATGTGTGGTGTCTAGTGAAACAGTCTTCATTTTGCATTTGTTCCCAGTTCCAAATGGCAGTCGACTGTGATGTATCACGGGTGAGCTCTAGCCTGTTCCATGACCTCCATCTTTGTCTTCCCTATTTCTGATGGGTCTAGATTTTTGTACAACTCAATCTTATCAATAAAAATCATTTTCCAGTTCATCAGGGACAACATTCTTGGGGATCCATTCAATAGCACTTCTTTTTCCACACATATTTGTTAATGATTGGGCAAGTGTGATTAGTATGGAGTTGTGGGTTTCCGTTCCTTTTACCAACAAGCAAACTCTGTCTCGGTGCCAATTCAGATGGCTTCATTATTCACAGGATGATTATCCAGTCATAGCCAATCTTGTCATTCTAATAAACATTGTGTTTAATTTTATTGACATTTTTCTTTTCATTCTTGAGTGATAAGTGCTTTTTTCCTTTTGTGACTGCACTGGAGTTGAGCCTTTTCAGGTCTTCATTTCTTCTATTTAACCTATTCCTGTATTTCTCTTTGACCCTCACCTTGTGATTTTTTTTTTCCATTGTGGCTCCTGTTTGGGTATTTTAGAGCATGCATTATTTGCTGTTTGCCTCTGATTTAAAGGGGAGTCCAGAGGCATACCTGAAGGCCTAATTTTGGCCATAAATGGAGTGTCGAAGGTGACCAAGTTGTGATTATTTAGACCGAAGTGAGGGAAGATAGCAGCTAACTTTTTTTCTGGCACCAACACCATCCTTCTCTTTGCTTCTGTGTAAGCCTGATGTCTTGGTTCAAACTGATCCTCCAACTGCACATGTACATGGCACTAGCAGTGAATCTGCATGTCAGTGACCTCTGTGGTTGCTCTGGGATGAGTCCTTGCAGCATTGGGTCTAGGAACTCCGCAGCTGTGCATTGGGTTTAGGCTCCGGCCTACTTCCTTCAGGAGGTCAAGCAGAAGTTCCAGGGATTCTAGGTGTTGAGGAGGCTGACCAGGCTGAAGAAACTTCAGGAGCAAAGGATACACCATGGGATCCTTCCCTCAGACTGCTTTGAGGGTGTGCATCTGATTCTCTTGCAGGGTTTCCACTGTTACTTAAAGGCTGGGCTAGCATAGGTGCCTGTGGCTTGCTGTGTCCCTCACGAAGTGTTCTCTATACTCATCCTCAACTATCTTTTCAAGGTTTTGCTTCCATCACTCCAAAGTCAACCCACCAGGAACAAACAAACAAACAAATCCTGTGCCCGTCTCAAGGTTACCAATATGGATACTGATAAATAGCTAAACTTCAAACCGCACGTTATACAATCGGTCTGCTAAAGCTATCTGATACCTATTGATTCTCCTTCAATTCACTTTTATTTGGCTTTTGTGATTCCACAGTTTCTTGGTATTCCTTTATTGTTGGTTCTCCTTCTTAGCTTAGTGTTATTCTTTTATTGTTTTAACTCAATGTTGGAATGCTCCATGGTTCAGTCCTTGCTGTTCTCTACCCTTTCTACACTAAAATCCTTAATCATTTAAATAAATGTGGGCAACACCTACTAAAGTAATATATCAGGTTTAGTATATCTCATACATCAAGTGCCTACTCACTACTGACATTTTGTGTCTTAAAAGACATCTAAAGATTCAACACTTTCGAAGCTGAACTCTCAGTCTTCCCCTGAAACCCTGCTGGAACTGAAGTTTTCCCCACCCTGGTTGATGAAAACACTGTATATCCAGATGCTCAAGACTAAAGTCTTTGAGCTAATGTCACCCTGGACTTGTCTCTTCTACATCTAGCCCTTAGACAAATTTTGCTTGCTGTTATATTTACCATATGCCTAGAATACAACTAATAACCACTATACCAACTGTTAACTTTTCTTCCTAAGCTGTGACATCCTTTCATCTGAGTTACTACAACCTCCTCATCAATTTTTTTCAACAGCTGTGTTTCCCTCAAAATAAAGTATCTTTACAATGGCTTGCACGCTTGGCATGATATGGTCCTCTGTTATCTCTCTGTTCTGCTCTAGCAACCACTCCTTTGCAAAGTGCTCTTCAATAACTTCCCCAATTTTCCTAAAACACATCAGCATTGTCCCATTGTAGGACCTCGCTAGCTTTCCCCTGTGCCTGGAATGCTTTTTCCTTAGATGACCACTGACTTATCACCTCACTCCTTCAAGTCTTGGCTCGTCTTTCCTTCTTGGTAGTCTACCTTGATCACTGTATTTCACAAAGCAACCTAAATTATCATATCCCTCCCACTGCCTTTGAATGATTTTTTCCCCATAACACTTAAGTTCTAACATACTCTGTACATATGATTACCTCCTCCTGCTAGAATTGTTAAGACAAATATCCAAAACATCTAAGATAGTGGCTGGAATATATTAAGTACCTAATAACTGACTACTTTTAGAACAATAGGCACCTATAAGGAAAGCATAAATATGTTTACTAGCAGACTGCCTTCGTATGCAATGGCACTGGTCTAATTTCTTGTTCAGGTTCTCATGTTGTATCACTGTAAGTGGCTTAAGGATAGAGGACTGAGGGCTGGCCATAATAGATAACATCTTACCAAAGTAATACTGCTTTCAGTTGCTGCTAGCGGGCCACCTAGCTCTACTCTGAATTTACCTCGTTCACAGGACATTCCTGAAAGCAGCAAGAAGTGTGAAACATGCATCCTGAATTCACCTCTGGCATTTCTTCCAACATCACAGCAGTGACTGATATAAAGCATGGTGGTATGAGTGGGAGGCAGTGACACAACGTCCTGCCTGTTAAAACAAGCATCTTTCAGCTCCTACCTTAATTTGGGCAGTTCCTCATTCTCAATAACCTAGAGATACTCCAATGGCCTCAATACCCGATTTGAGATTTCCTTTACCCATAGCATCCCACTTCTAGCTACAAAATTTTATAACCTTAAGAATTTTTATTGTCAATAACAGAGCTACAATTGCATCAACAAATAAGATGTTTAATTTTATTTAAACAAACACAGGAGGCAAGCAGACCAGAGCAAGTATGGCTGTTCCACAAAATCATCAGGGTTGCAGACTCCTTCTGCATGTCTGCTCCATGATCCCTAACACCCAGATACCATTCTCAAAGTCCCCATGACAGTACTGGAGCTCCAGCTTTGATGTCCACGTTGTAGGAAGGGGAAAAAAAGACAGAAAAAAATGGATTTCATAAATCTCCTACTCATATAAACACCACTTCTATCTTGTTGATCTGCAAGGAAGGCTGAGATAGTTTTTCAGCCCAGAATTTTGTTATTAAAAAAGAGAAAATAGATATAGAGTAGGAAAAAAGCAGTCTCTATCACAAACTCTCATCATTTTGCATTGCAAAATAGTCTGTAATATTGGTTCTTACTTTTGTTTACTTCAAAAGCAATACATTCAAGTTTTTAAAAATTTCCTAGATTAGACTTTGGATCTTAGACTTTGTTAAAAATCACTTCACGCCTTGCCCCAATTCTCAAACAGCTGTGCTCAATCATCTAGTCATTAAATCCACTGGCTTTTTTTTGAACAGTATGAATTTCCTCTTATAGCAATAATGGATGAGATTTAAATGACAGCTTTCTCACATTCATTATGGCATACAGTGCCCCTTACCCATCTAGGATGTGTTGATAAAAGATTTCTCAATATTTATTACACTCATAAGTTTTCTCCTCTCATGCAAATTCTCTAAAATAACACTAGGGAAAATGGTAGCTAATATTTGTGGTATGCTATGTTCAAGGCACCATTCTAAGAGCTTTCACATGTAATAACTTACATAATACTTCCAAGAATCTTATAATAAAGGTAATATACTTAGGTGTATCTTAAATGATTAAACCAAGGTAGAGGTTAAGTATCATGATACATATAACAATAACAACAACAAAAAATCAACTAGTAGAGCTAAGATAATGTTGAAAAAGATATTTGTTTTCAATATGGCTAAAGGCCTTCCTACATTTACTGCATTGAAACTATTCTCCAATTTGCTAATGTTTAATAGGTTTTCAGTAATGATAGGTTTTTCTATATGAATGACACTAACATTTTCTTTTCCTCATACAAATTCTCTGATGCTGTGCCTGAGGCAGACGTGCACCCATATTCACATCTGTGAGAATTCGTTGCTGATAACAACCAGAGAACCTCTTCATAGTGATCTCAAAGAATCAGACAGTTCACATGTAAACTTCTGAGCCGTGACTAAAGTCAATACCACATTCTTTATATTCAAAAGATTTCTCACTGATATGAATTCTCTGATGTTGTGTTAGTTGTGAACCACGAGTAAAGGCCTTCCCACATTCCTTACATTGATATGGTTTCTCACCAGTATGAATCCTCTGATGCCGAGAAAGATGTGAGCTCTGAGTAAAGGCCTTTCTGCATTCTCTGCATTCATAGGGCTTCTCACCAGTATGGATTCTCTGATGTAGAGTAAGTTGAGAGCCATGACTAAAGGCCTTGCCACATTCCTTGCATTCATAGGGTTTTTCTCCAGTGTGAATTCGCTGATGTTGAGTCAACTGTGAACCACGAATAAAGGCTTTCCCACATTCCTTACATTGATACGGTTTCTCACCAGTATGAATTCTCTGATGTTGTATAAGTAGTAAGCCACGCGCAAAGGCCTTTCCGCATTCATTACACACATAGGGTTTCTCACCAGTGTGAAGTCTTTGATGTTGGGAAAGATGTGAACTCTGAGTAAAGGCCATTCTACATTCTTTACATTCATAAGGTTTCTCACCAGTATGGATTCTCTGATGTTGAGTAAGCTGTGAACCACGAATAAAAGATTTCCCACATTCCTTACATTCATAGGGTTTCTCACCTGTGTGAATTCGCTCATGCTGAGTAAGTTCTGAGCCACGACTAAAGGTTTTTCCACATTCTTTACATTCATAGGGTTTCTCACCAGTATGAATCCTCTGGTGTCGTGTAAGGAGCGAGCCACGATTAAATGCCTTTCCACATTCCTTACATTGATAGGGTTTCTCACCAGTATGTATTCTCTGATGTTGGGTAAGTTGTGAGCCATGACTAAACGTCTTTCCACATTCCTTACATTCATAGGGCTTTTCATTGGTATGAATTCTCTGGTGTTGGGTAAGTTGTGAGCCGCGGATAAAGGCCTTCCCACATTCTTCACATTTATAGGGTTTTTCACCAGTATGAATCCTCTGATGTTGCATAAGTAGTGAGCCTCGAATAAAAGCCTTTCCACATTCCTTACATTCATATGGTTTTTCCCCATTATGAATTTTTTGATGTTGAGAAAGCTGTGAGCCACAAATAAAAGCTTTCCCACATTCCTTACATTCATACGGTTTCTCACCGGTATGAATTCTCTTATGCAGAATAAGTTGTGAGAGCTGAGTAAAGACCTTCCTACATTCTTTACATTCATAGAGCTTCTCACCAGTATGAAGTCTCTGGTGTAGTGTAAGTTGTGAATTCTGAGTAAAGGCCTTCCCACATTCTTTACATTCGTAAGGTTTCTCACCAGTATGAACTTTTTGATGTCGGGTAAGTTGTGAGCTACGAATAAAGGCTTTCCCACATTCTTCACATTTGTATGGTTTTTCACCAGTATGAATTCTATGATGTAAAATAAGTTGTGAGCTTTGAGTAAAGGCCTTCCCACATTCCTTACATGCATAAGGTTTCTCACCAGTATGAAGTCTCTGATGAAGACTGAGCTGTGAATCACGACTAAAGGCTTTCCCACATTGCTTACATTCATAGGGTTTTTCACCAGTATGAATACTTTGATGTTGTGTTAGGTGTGAGGCTCGTCTAAAGGCTTTCCCGCATTCCTTACATTTATAGGGTTTCTCAGTAGAATGACATTTTGAATGTTGAGACAAGTAAGTATGCTGGTTGAAAATGGACATTTTGTCATATATGATTATCCCTTGCCTGAAATATTCCTTCTGATTTTCTTGTTGCTTCTCCATCTTGGCTTTGGCTTCCAAATATTCCCTAGAATTGGACTCCTCAAGGTCACACTTTTCAAGCCTGTTACTCATTTCCCATTGGGATAATTCTGTTTCATAAGTGTTCTTTTCTGGAGATAAGTCCTTTCTTGCACACCTTGAAGGCAAGTCTGAAATAAGAGAGAATTAAAAAATTGAGAAATATAACTTCTATAGCAAAGACAAATAATAGGAAATTATAATATCCATTAAAAAAAGAACATAAAATACATGAGTTTGTTTCAAATATTGCTTACTATGACCCATGATACCTACCTTTCACATCACAACCTACTATAAAGTTTGATAAAACAGTATCTTCCCTGCTTTCTATTCTATTCTGCAGTAAGTCTGCTCTTTTCTATTTCTCTCTCATACACAAAACTGACTAAACTGATTTCATAGTACAGAAGTGTTCCTACCTAGAATTAAAAAAAATAACAAAACTGATTTCATAGTACAGAAATGTTCCTACCTAGAATTAAAAAATTGACTAAACTGATTTCATAGTACAGAAATGTTCCTACCTAGAAATAAAAAAAATTAGCTTAGAAATATCTCATATATTAATATATGAAAGGGGCATCTGAGAGATGAGAGAATAATGAAAACTCAGATGAGAAGATAAGGGAAGAGATTAAGAAAAATTTTAAAGTCAGTAGTTCTCAAGCTTTGGTGGAGATCAAAATCACCTGGGGAGCATGTTAAGATTATAGTTCTCCAACATTACACCAGACTAACTGCTAGTGAATCAGATAAAGATTCTGGAGATCTCTATTTTTAATACTTCCTATCAACTGATTCATATTCAGATCATGATTTTCTGTATCTGCTTAATACTTTTTAGTAGCTTCCATGTTAAACTTAATATAAAATCCAAACTCTTCAATGACTTTGACTCATTTCTGACAATCCAAAAATTTGGATTAAGGTCATTTAAGACTGCTTGCCATAGCAAACTTAAATCATTACTGGATTTTGTATAATGTTATGCAAGGACTGAAATTTTTTAATTTTTCTTTGCAATGTCTGGCACTCAGTAAAAACCAGGTCAATGAAAGCACAAAACAACTGAAAAACAGGAGAAAAAATAAAAGAAACTTTGACCTATAAGGACTCAAGTCATGTATCCACCCACCATCATACTTCTATTACTCTTAAATACCCTCGTCCTGGTCCTCTGTAATCAACCCTTCTTTCCACCCTAGTGGTAGATGCCTAGAAACCAGTGACTGTGGTTTCCTTACAAATTCCTTACAGATAGTAGCAAAAGCACCTCCATACTAACTCTATGATCCTATTTACCTCTCCAATTGCTCTTCTTTAACTCTCCCTATCCCTTTCAAACAAGATACTAAGTTGCTTTTGTTTACTTATTCTTACTTCACAGCTTACTTTGTTCCTTTATGCTTTGGCTCACGTCTTCTCATCTTGTCTATTCAAGGACAATTCTGTGCAAACACATCCTAGAGCTCCCAGGTGCTGCTACAGGTCTAAAACATAATGAAAGGGTTCTATAATCTCATGGAATGTTGGACAGAAAAAAGGCAATTATGCAGGTGGGGCATGGTGGCTCAGCCTGTAATCCCAGCACTTTGGGAGGCCAAAGAAGGTGGATCATTTGAGGTCAGGAGTTTGAGACCAACCTGGCCAACATGGTGAAACCTCATATCTACTGAAAAATACAAAATCAGCTGGGTGTGGTGACAGGCATCTGTAATTCCAGTTACTTGGGAGGCTGAAACAGGAGAATCATTTGAACCAGGGACGCAGAGGTTACAGTGAGCCAAGATCTTACCACTGCACTCCAGCCTGGGCAACAGAGCAAGACTCCATCTCAAAACAAACAAACAAACAAACATATATATATATATATATATATATATATGGAGAGAGAGAGAGAAAGAGTGAGAGAGAGAAGATTAAAAGAAAATAAAGAAGATCAAGCAATGAAGTAAGAGCCAGAAACTAGAGAGGTCAACATGCTCTGAAGTCAGAGCTACCCCTGGAACATTTGCTGGCTTCAGTAGCCTAAAGTTCTATCTTAGTGTTCTGAAAAGATTTAAGAGACAAGCCCTTGCACCCACATAAGAGCAGTGATTAGAAATAAACCACTTTACAAAATTCGAAACTATTCAAGGCCTAAAGTTCAGAGACAGGAAAAAAAGTTCATCTGACCTCAGTCTTAGCCATTTTTTAAAAATTGACTTTTACTCTGAGTTGGGGAGCCAAAATTAATAAATAAAAAGATCGTTAACGGGAAAGTACAAAAGCTAGATGGATGGAAGTTAGGTGGCTACTATAATCCACCTGGCTCAGACCAGATGATCGTGGAGGTAAGGGTGGAGGAAGTGAGGTATCATTAGAGAACGGATGTATTTTGAAGGTATACTAAAGAGGATGTGATGATGGAACGGACATGTAACATGGAAAAGAGAACACAAGGAAGACTACGCATGTTCTGCCTGAAAGGCTGGAACGAAGAAGTGCCACTTACTGAGAACTCTTCACTGTTGTGATAGGGGCAGATCTGGAAGAGAATGTGAAGAGTCTGGTTTTGAACTATTAGATATCAAATGAAAATGTTCAACAGACACATATATGTGCAAGTATGTGACTCTAGGGAGGTGTTTGGATTACAGATATAGTTTGAAAGTCATTACCAAATAAATAACATTTAAAGCTATGAGATTTGATGAGGTCACCCAGGGAGTACCTTTGTATATAAAACAGAAGGAGAAGGATGAAAAAGGGATGTTTGATGATTGAACCCTTGGTCACTTCAGGTAGATGAGAAGGAAACAGCAATGGAGACTAAGGAGTAGCCAGCGAGGAAGGTGGAAAATTAGGAGAGCACAGAACCCCAGAAGCCATGTGAAACAAGAGTTTTAAGAAGGAATGATTGGTTATATCAAATGCTGAGACATGAGGCAAATGGTGCAATTTTTTTTTTTTTTTGAGATGGAGTTCTGCTCTGTCGCCCATCCTGGAGTACAGTGGCATGATCTCAGCTCACTACAACCTCCACCTCCCGGATTCAAATGATTCTCTTGTCTCAGCCTCCTGAGTAGCTGGGAATCCATGCGCACACCATCACGTCTGGCTAATTTTTTTGTATTTTTAGCAGATACAGGATTTCATCATGTTGGCCAAGCTGGTCTCGAGCTCCTGACCTCAGGTGATCCCCCTGCCTTGGCCTCCCAAAGTGCTAGGATTACGGGTGTGACCCACTGCACCAGGCCTAAATGTGCTTTCTAAATTAAAAATGGCTTTATTAGCAATATGGAGATTACTGGTAATCTTCACAAGAATGGCTTTGGTAGAATAATGGGAGCAAGTTCTGACTGAACCAGATTCAAAAGAATGAGAGAATGAGAGAAAAGCTGGTGTTAGGGAAGATGGAAAATTATTTTGTATTTTTCTGTAAAAAGTAGCAAAGAAGGCCAGGTGTGATGGCTCATGCCTGTAATCCCAGCACTTTGGGAAGCTGAGGCGGGTGAATCATGAGGTCAAGAGCTCAAGACCATCCTGGCCAAAATGGTGAAACCCCATCTCTACTAAAAATACAAAAAATTAGCCAGGCACGGTGGTGTGTGCCTGTAGTCCCAGCTACTTGGGAGGCTGAGGCAGGAGAATTGCTTGAAACCGGAAAATGGAAGTTGCAGTGAGCTGGGATCGTGCCACTGCACTCCAGCCTGGCGATAAAGCGTGACTCTCTCAAAAAGAAAAAAAAGTAGCAAAGAAATGGAGCTATATCAGAAAAATGTGTATATCAAAAGATTTGTTTCTGTGTTTTTCCTTTTAAGATGGAAGAAACTATGACATGTTTGTATGCTGATGAGAATTCTTGTAAAAGTTATGGACAAGTTGATGTTAGAGGAGACAAAGGGCAATTGCTTCAACAATGTCCTTAAAAATATGAGAAGGAATGGAGTTCAGTATCCAAGTGAGAGTACTGGCCTTAAGTAAAGGCACAAAAAGTTTACATGTCTACAGAAAAAGAGGTTGAATGAATATAGATGAAGGTAGGTAAAAACACAAGGAAGCAGGAACTTGCAGAAATTCTCTACTGCTAGCTTCAGTTTTCTCAGTGAAATCAGCTCAGGGACATCATCTAAGAGCCAGGCAAGGAATTATAATAGTCATGACCATTATGTAACTAACAACTTAACTGCTAAATAAAAAAAAACTAGCAGACATACAAAGAAATGAATCATAGTCATAGTAAAGAATAGAATATAAACAGAAAAGAAATAAAAACAAGGAAGACTATAACATAATAATATAGGCAGATAGATAAAACTGATATAAAATGTTTTCAATTATCATATTAGCATAAAATTAAAAATTATAAAAACATATAATCCTTGAATTAAGTAACTAAGACACTTCTATATGATGTTTGTTATAGGAGGAAATAAAAATAAAATTTAAAAACAATTTAGAGGCAGGGTGCAGTGACTCACGCCTGTAATCCCAGCACTTTGGGAAGCTGAGGCAGGCGGATCACGAGGAGTTCAAGAGTAGCCTGGCCAACATAGTGAAACCCCATCTCTATTAAAAATACAAAATTTAGCCAGGCATGGTGGTGGTGCATACCCATAGCCCTGGCTACTTAGGAGGCTAAGGCAGGAGAATTGAACCTGGGAGGTGGAAGTTGCAGTGAGTCAAGATCATGCCACTGCACTCCATCATGGGCAACACAGTGAGACTCTGTCTTAAAAAAAAAAATTTAGGCCGGGCGCGGTGGCTCAAGCCTGTAATCCCAGCACTTTGGGAGGCCGAGGCGGGTGGATCACGAAGTCAAGAGATCAAGACCATCCTGGTCAACATGGTGAAACCCCGTCTCTACTAAAAATACAAAAAATCAGCTGGGCCTGGTGGCGCATGCCTGTAATCCCAGCTACTCAGGAGGCTGAGGCAGGAGAATTGCCTGAACCCAGGAGGCGGAGGTTGCGGTGAGCCGAGATCGCGCCATTGCACTCCAGCCTGGGTAACAAGAGCAAAACTCCGTCTCAAAAAAAAAAAAAATGTTAGAACTAAATAGCAAAAGAAACGGTGGGAAAGCCCATGAAATCAGCTAAATTTGTACCTAGAGAAATTTACAGTTTTAAGTACATTTATTAAAAAA